TTGGTAAAAATCTTCTATCTCCTCTTCCTTGGCTCTGGTTGTTGGTGCATATATTTGAATGATAGTGGTATTCACTGGACTTCCTTGTATGCCTATAGATATTATCCTGTCACTGACAATATTGTACTTCAAGATGGCTCTAGCAATGACTTTTTTAACTATGAAAGCAACTGCATTTTTCCTCACCTTTTCATCTCCAGAGTAATATATCCTATGGTCATGAGTTGAGACTTCACAGTAGATGTAAAAATTCAGACTGTAGCTAGGCTTGATCAATGTCACACATGTGGAAAATCTGGTTTTTTTTTTTCTTTTTTACATCTAAGGAGATATTCAAGAACACGCATTGCTGAGAAATTTAATGAGAGTCAAGAACGTCCAACAGCGTTTTCTCAATCAAGTCAGATTACGGCACACGGAAGAAATCCCCCAGGAGAGAGATGTTACGAATGTAAGGAATGTGGCAAAACCTTCTCTCGATCACATGACCTCTCTGAACATAGGAAAACTCACACAGGAAGGAAACGTAATCTATTCAAGGAATGTGAGACAACATTTTCAAAATCAAGTCAGCTGGCTTTACATAGAAGAAGTCACACAGGAGAGAGACCTTATGTGTGTAACGTCTGTGGGAAAATCTTTGCCCGATCATCCGACTTGACTCGACATCTTAGAATTCACACAGGAGAGAGACCTTATGAATGTAAGGAATGTGGCAAGACCTTTAACGTGTCAACTGAACTCACTCAACATCTTAGAATTCACACAGGAGAGAGACCTTACGAATGTCAGGAATGTGGCAAGACCTTTGCCCGATCAGCTTACCTCACTCAACATAGAAGAATTCACACAGGAGAGAGACCTTATGTCTGTAAGGAATGTGGGAAAACGTTTCGCAGTGCAACTCACCTCACTCAACATAAAAGAATTCACACAGGAGAGAGACCTTACGAGTGTAAGAAATGCGGGAAAACATTTGCACGATCCTGTAAGCTCACTGCACACAGAAGAATTCATACAGGAGAGAAACCTTACACGTGTAAGGAATGTGGGAAGGCCTTTGCCCGATTAACTCACCTCACTCGACATCTTAGAATTCACACCGGAGAGAAACCGTACGAATGTAAGGAATGTGGGAAAACATTTGCACAATCAACCCAGCTCACGCGACATCTTAGAATCCTCGCAGGAGAGAAAACTTACGAATGTCAGGAATGTGGGAAGACATTTTTCCAATCAAGTCAGCTCACGTCACATAGAAAAATTCATACAGGAGAGAAGCCTTATGAATGTAAACAGTGTGGCAAAACCTTTGCCCGATCCACTGAGCTCTCACGCCATGTTAGAATTCACGGAGGAGAGAGACCTTATGAATGTGAGGAATGTGGAAAGACCTTTGCCCGAACCACTCACCTCACTCAGCATAGAAGAATTCACACAGGAGAGAGACCTTATGTGTGTAAGGAGTGTGGGAAAACTTTTCGCGTATCGACGTCTCTCACAAATCATATTAGAATTCACACAGGAGAGAGACCTTATGAATGTCAGGAATGTGGGAAGACATTTTCACGAACGAGTCAGCTCACTTCACATCGAAGAATTCATACAGGAGAGAGACCTTATGAATGTAAGGAATGTGGAAAAGCCTTTTCTCACCATGCTTCTCTCATTGTGCACGGACGAAGTCATACAGGAGAGAAACCTTATAAATGTAAACATTGTCAGAAAAACTTTTCTCAGCTCTCCTCCCTAATTGTACATGCAAGAATTCACACAGGAGAGAAACCTTATCATTGTACGGAATGTGGGAAAACTTTTTCACACTCAAGTCGTCTCAGTATACATAAAAGAAGAATCCACGCAGAGAAGTCCTTTTAAGGAACAGCACTATGCAATCTGTTGAATATTTTGTGTAAAAAAAATCGTTCCCGGGTTTCAGCACCAAAAAAAAATTGTAAAAAGTTAATTGGCATCATTCAACAATTATTACTTCCCATGCGTGATTGTCTGGAAAACCAGTGTGATTTGTAACTTTCTGTGAAATCCCAGAGTTGTAAAAGCGAAATAAATAAAAAATATTTCTATCCAAACAAAGAAAACCTAAGAACTCGCAGCACAAAGTGCTGTGTTCTATCAGCTTTGGATAATCTTGAAGAAAAAGGTGTTGATCTTACTCGAAGGAAGACTTAAATGTAGTGAAGCATAGTCAAGTCTGTACATATAAACTGTCCATGAAGGGGTTCCTTATGGGAGTGACCTCAGTTTACAATACTGCATTTAACCTTGCCAGTGGCATCTGTGAATGGATAACAGTGACATTCAGCATCTGTACTCAAAAGAAGACAGCAGAAGTGAGGCCTACAGTTTGGAAACACCATTCCTCCTGGTGAATACCAAGCTCTTTTCCGTCCTATATGTATTACAAATATTTGCTCTCTCGTGTTTCCAAAGCTGTATTTTATAAGAAGAAGATTCCTAAGCCTGTTTCCTGAGACATGGTGAGTGTTTGCAAATTAAAACCAAACCCATTATCATTAAGTCGATTCCAAGTGATAAAAGTCCACTATGACAATTCCAGTGTCCTGTAGACTTTCCGGAGCTACAGTTATTTCCTGAAGTGGATTATTTCCTCTTTTGCTCAAATATCAGTTGTTGAATTTGAATTTGATGATGTTTGTTCTGTCATCTCAATTCTTAATCCTGCTCTCAGATGCGTAGCAACTGATTGGAAAGATCGTGCCTTGAGTTGGTTCTATATGGTACCATACACAGTTCCCAAGGGGTTCAGGCATGTCTCCCATGCTCCCTAGCCAGTTTTTACTAAAAAAATGAATGGAAAGAAATGGTATATTATACATTGCGAGGTAGTAGTATGCAATACTGAAATACAGTGACTTTGAAAACATGACACATCATGGGTGACACTAGAAGAAATTCAGCTGAGTGACATATCTTAGTCACATAAGGACAAATACTCCATAACACTAATGTTCTATTTTTTTTTAAGAGTAAACTCATTTCTTTAGATTAGTTTAGCTTAGGTTAGTTTAGTTTATTAAATAACGTTTCTAGAACATACATGCGTTAAAATAGTAATGTAGGGCTGAGGCTCATTAAGCCCTTGAAATAGTTAAGCACTCTTCAGTGATGTTAATCAGAAAAGTCTTTTATTGGTGGACTGACTTCTCATGTGTCCAGAATTGTATATCTTGGGAATATGTTGGGTTTTGTGTCAATTTGAAATATGGTTTGATAGTCACATGATATTTGTGATGATAATAATTCATGCAGGTATAAGTGAATACGTAAAAGCAAAGGTTCTGTGTCAGTATACCTTAGACTTTGTTTTCCTCAAAGGGGTTATAGCATCGCTGTTCTAAAGCATGTATGACATGGGGGATTGTAACGAGAATAGGAAAAGTGTGGACAGATAATAAACAGTGCATCAGAACAGGTGATGCAAAGACCTGTTTAAAAAGACATATACAATTATGATGTGTATGACAAGTCCAGTGCAATGTGGACTGGAAGAGGAGAAACGAAACTGTGCAACAGTGAATGAATATTCAAAAGTGAACTGGAAAGGGAGCTCTGGTGGCCTAGTGGCAAAGAAGTTGTACTGCAATCCCAAAGGTGCACAGTTCAAATCCACCAGATGCTCTGCTGGAGATGGAAGGGCAATCTCCTGTGTCAGTCCAGTTCGATTCGACGGTACACAAAAAGAAAAATTAATAATTTTTTTTTAAAGTGAACTGGGGGACGGGGGAAGGGAGGGAGGGAAATGTACAACAATGAAGGAAACACTTCAGTTTGTACTCTTTCCTAAAATCACCATTAAAATAAAATTATTCTTTAAAAAACCCACAACAGTAATCTTTCTACGTTACTATGTCCAAGCTCTGAGTTGGTAGCTCTGACACCACACCATATTGAGGAAGTTGAAATGTTAAAATCCAGGTTCATAGTAGAATACATAGATTACTGAACAGCTTCTGAAATGTGCTTCGAAGCACCTCACTCAGCCTTGAGCTTGGGATCTAAAGGCCACTCTTAAAACATTTTCCATCATGTGAATGTTGACACCCGTCTCTCACCCCAAGGTGTCCAACAAACTTGGAACCAAAGCTCTAAACTTATCTCTGGGATCCACACCATCTCACGTTGACTCATCTCTCCTTTGGCCTTGGCTACTCATGCTGAAAGTCTAGCTGGTACAAGAATATCTGGTCCCTCAAGGGCATTCACTGTCCCTAAGTTGTCCTGGAAGGATTTTCAGTACTCCTGTTCTCTCGTGTTTCCAAAGCTATACTTTATAGGAAAAAGATTCTCAAGATTCTTTTCTGAGATCCTTCTGAGTGTTCACATCAGAAAGTGAAACCCATTATCAACTGGATTCCAAATCATAGGGGTCCAATTGGACAGTGCCAGTGTCCATTAGACTTTCCAAGGCCACAATTATTTATTGCAAAGGATGGTTTCATCTTTTTTCTCAAACACCAATTCTTGAAGTGGAACCTTATGATGTTTTTCTGTCATCGCTATTTATTGTCGATCTCTCAATTCGATGCATAGCAAGTATTTGGAAAAAGCATGGTTGAATCTGTTCTGAGGGGTACGGCACTTGTCTAGCAGTTTGCTGTACTGTGATAACTTGGGGATTGCTGTGATCCTGTAAGCTATGCCACTCGTGTATCAAGTGCTGGGTTACAGGTTCCTGTGAACAGGTTTTAGCAGAGCCCCCATATGAAGACAGGCTAGAAAGCAGGATTGGTCATCCACTTGTGAAACAATAGGCCTTTGAAACCCCTATGAACAATAGAAGAGTTTGCATACATATTGTAAAAAGTTAATTGTAAAAGTCAATAGTAATTTATACCACTGAAAATAGTTAGGGCCACCTGGAAATGGTTGTATCTGACCTTTATACCAACTTTACAACGGGAAATTGTCCCGGCAATTCAATTAGTACCATAAAAGCAATTCCCAAGGGTTCAGACATGTCTCCCATGTTCCTAAAGCATGTTTTACTCAACAGACAAATGGATAGAAAAACTATGGTATAGTCACACTGTGCAATACTGCAAAACACTGAAAAACATTGAACTTGTCACACATGACACAACTAGGTGACACTGGAGGAAATTATGCTGAGTGAAATATCTCAGTCACAAAAGGAAAAACAACACCACTGTGCTTTTATAAAATTATTTTTAAAGTCTTTTAAGGTTACATTATTAGATAACTTTTCCTGAAAATACATTCATTAAAATGGTAATTCAGGGCTTAGAGTCATAAGCCTTTGAAATATTTAAGCAATCTTCAATGATGTTGATAAAAAAAAAAGTTTTTCATTGGTGGAATAAAGCCTCCATTCTCCAGAATTGTATCTCCTGAGAATAGTTTTGTGTCGATGAAGGCATATGGTTTGACATTCACATGATATTTGAGATACTAATTAATAATCCACACTCTTGGCACCAGCAGCCAAAAAATTAAAAAACGTATTGCGATGGGAAAGTCTGCTCTTAGGGACCTCTCCAAAGTACTGAAGAGCAACGGAGTCACTCTGGAGACTAAGGTGTGCCTGATACAGGCCATGGTTTTTGCAATCACTTGCTATGCATCAGAGAGTTGGACAATGACCAAAGAGGACAGAAGGAGAATTGATGCCTTTGAGCTGTGGTGCTGGAGAAGTGTATTGAATATGCAATGCACTGCTAAGAAAACTAATAGGTTCATATTGGAGAGGGATAAACCAGGCTGATGGCAAAGATTCTGAAGCTTTGTCTGACATACTTTGGACCTATTGCAAGGATGGACCAGCCCTTAGACGTCACGCTTGGGAAGGTGGACAGCGCAGAAGAGGAAGATCCTCAATGAGATGGACTGACTCAGTTACAGGGGTCATGAGGGTAGGTGTGATAGAGATAGTGCGGCTGGCACTCGATAGAGCAGCATTTAGGGCTGTTGTACACAAGATTGCTATGAGTCACAGGTGACTCAATGCCACATAACAACAACAATGCATAATCAATGCAAGTGTAAGTATGTGTGCAAAAGCAAACGCCCTGCGTCAGTTGACCTTATACAACATCTTCTTCTAAGGGGTTATAATACCACTGTTCTAAACCATGTCTGATAAAGCATGGGGGAAAATGAGGAGGATAGGAAAAGTGTGGACAGATAATAAACCCTGCACTGAACAGATGAAACACCTTTTCCAAAGCAATACATGGTTAGGCGTTATATGTACGACAACTGTCCAGAATGAGATGTACAGTGCAAAGTGGACTGTGGGAGGGACAAGGAGAGGAGGCGGGAGGAAACTGTGAAACAGTGAATGAATATTAAAAAGTGAACTGGGTAGAGAGGGTAGAAAAGAAAATGTGCAACAATAAATGCATGAAAAAACACAGCTCTCCTGTAATCTTTTGTGAAAATCGCCATTAAAATGTAATTAAATTCTTGTTTTAAAAAACCCACAGCACTAATCTTACTGCTTTACGAGGTCCACACTCCACTTTGATATCTCCCACACCACGGAGTGGCATATTATGCAAGTTAAAACGTGATGATCCAGGTATATAGTAGGAGACAGTCTACTGAAGAGCTTCTGAAATGTGCTTCAGGGCACCTCATCCTTGAGCTTGGTAGCTGAAGGACAGAGTGACAACGTTTTTAATAATGTAATTATTGGCACCCTCTCCTAACCCCAGACTTGTACCAACAAACTTGGGCAAAAGCTTAGCTACTTGGAGTAGGGGCCAGCACTTCCAAAGTCAAAACCATTTCAAGGTGGCTCTGTGGTTCTCTCCTTTTGGGCCATGGTGCTGCTTCTATAAGTCTAGCTGGTGCAAGAATATCTGGTCCAGTAGGTCCTCCACTGCATGCCTACATCTCCTTTGCTGATGGTAGGAGACTCTGTAGTGCTGGATACACTACTAAATGGACAATATCTAGGGAGCGCTGGTGGCCTACTGGCAAGAAGCTGCCCTGCAATCCCAGAGGCGTGCGGTTCAAATCTACCAGATTTGTGCATTGGTGACACTAGCCAGTCACCTGGTGACTAGTCTAACATGCCTTCTTTATATTCCTGCATATCCATTTGGGCAGTAGCAGTTTAGATTGGGAAAGCTATGTTGAATCATAAATAATACATACGCATGACTGATTACCTACAAAATCAATGTGAAGTGTAAG